CACATCAACCTGCTCGAAAAATAATTCCTTGTCTGATTGAAATAACTCACAGAGATTTCGATTATTCGGCTCACCACTCTTTTCTTACAGTAAGTATGGGAAACTACTGAGTGACAATTTAATAATTATAAAGACTATATTATATATATATATAAAAAAAATATATATATATCCGGCTAAGTTACAACTATTATTTATTATACGTCAATATTTTATCAGAGTCATTCTTGGCAGAATTGTCCAGCAGTTTAAAAAATCAACATAAAATTTTAAAATTCACATCATCAAGTACCTCTCCGCATTCATTTTCACAGTTCTTACACTCATTTTGTGCATGCTCACGTTAAAAAGGGACCGTTACTCTACAAACAAGCAGTACACAACCACAATGTCAACACAGTCAGCTTCTCCTGGGTGGGCGTCATGCAGTGCTCTTCTTCCCGGACCTTTAGTTCCTGACCGGACTATATGGGAATATATTCCTTCATTATGTATGTGAAAAAATGTGAAATTCCTGGTAAGCATGTTGTTAGTAGCTTCAACTCAGTGCTTGTCTAGTCAAATAGCTCCGTGCATTCCCTTAACTACTACTCTTAACAGATGGATTGCATCATCGGAATGGGGGAATGGAATTTATCTAGACCCATTGTCCATATTGGGGTTGTGCCTATAACTCTACCTAAACGACAAATCAATCGTTATAAATCTGGGTTTTGTGAATTCCAACGTAGCAAATCATGAAATTGAACTTTAATCTCCGTAAAATAAAGGCTGGAAAGTTCTAAAACAACAAAGTAGAATGTGACTAGCAGTTAGCAGGATGTCTTATGTTTTGACAGTCACGTACAGGCTCCCGTTCTCGTTATCAAATGGTTCACACCAATGTTATTGTAACATCCACCTGCCTGGTAATGGGATCCCGTGTCACAATTACCTGTAATCCCTCCTCCCTGATTGGGGGATATCACCCACGTGCTCTACTCCCCTCCTCTGGTTGGCTGTTGCCATGCCCACGTGGTAGTGACACGTGGGCGCTGCTAGAGATCTTGACACATTGCTCGCGGCATGTGTACAAGACATTGTATAAACAAGGAAAAGTAATGTCACGGAGTAGTCACCTGCTCCTTTTCTCCTTGTCAGGTTGGACGTGTTATAATATTAGACACTGCAGCGTACTCTCCGTCATACTACTACTTCTAAAACCAGTCATCCTTGCTGTTCTGTAGTTATAGTTCTACTTGTTTGTAGTTCTACTTGTTCTGTAGTCTGTACTGTTCTACTTGTAACTTGTAGTTCTTGGTTTCGTCCTACGCTCGTATCTTTGTGAGGATGTTTCTAAAAAGGAAATCTTGTCCTCTAGCATCAAAACCCTGGGTGAGTTGCACACGGTATATATTAGAATTGTACCAGTAGTTTTGGGAGAATGTCCACTTGTTGGGGGCCTGTGAAACTTGCTAACTGATCGTTATATCAGTTAACCCAGTAACATGTCCTGCTCCTTCATAATATGCCCCTTTCTTGAGCCTCCCGGAATGTTTGGGGCCAGGAAAACAGCGATAAACGTAACACGTGCACCGTTAACGTTAGAAAACTAACGTACCCCGTATCTGGTTCTGATTGGTGGTAAAATAACACGTGATATTAATACTCTGCTATGATTGGTCGAGGATCATGTGCGGTAACCCTCGTCCCTTGGTGTTGGGTAGCATATTCTTTTCAAACATTTGTACTTTGAGTTTTATATTTGTTGACCGCTGTTTTAACGATGAGTTGGTTTGTATCTGCTAAGAGAACTGCAGGACGAGTTTTAATGGGATCTGATACCAGCTGCAAGGTAATACTACATAACCTGTATATTACGTATATATACAGATAACCTGTATTATAATGAGGAACTTGCCCTTCCCTTTATCTTGCTCACTTCCTCACCCGAGTATCTTAAGGCATTAGTGTCCGGGTAGTGCTCCTCAATCATCAATCTTGTCTATCTACACTTCCTCACTAAACATATAATCAGTATGTGACATAGTGACTGATAAGGCTCGCTGTGAGTTCTAGTTCCACTGATATCACGAGAAGTTCTACTTCCTAATATGGAGGTACAGTCTGGGGAGTTATCTATTTTAGAGTATCAAATTCAGAGAGATACCAGGAAGAAATAAGTTAATTAATATCGGTGGGAATAATGAAAATCATTGGAAATATCTTTAAATAACCAGTGTTAAATAAAACTGTTAAGGGGGGGGGCCAATGGATATTTTTTTGTGAAACTTGATTTCGAGATAGCAGTTGACCAACAAACTAAGACCAGTGACCGAACTTTTGAGGGGGTCCCGGACCCCAACCGCCAAACGGTGCCCGCGGGGCAGCCACGCCCATATTTGGTCCAAATTAGGCCCAATTTAGCCAAATACTCTGAACATGCCCAAAACCCAAATTTAAGGTGCTCTACTTGTAGCTAGTGGTCTCCTGAACTCGTATATGAAATTTCATCAAGATTGGACAAAAAATGACTGAGTTATGAGCCAAAAACCATATGCCCATATTTGGGCATACGCACCAAATTTGGTAGATTTCGTCCCATAAATTGGTCAAATATCAATATTTTTCACTGAAACTTACTTTATATGAAAGGTAAGCCTAAACTACATATTCTCTGTAAGTTATAGCTTTATATCTGTTTCATTGTGGATACTAAGGCGAAAAGACCACAAAAAATGAACTAAATTGCCCATATCTTGGTTCGCGATATTCGCGGAATTGATCTCATTAAAATTGTAACAACTCAATCAGTTTTCAAAATTTTTCCATAATATTTTCGGAATCGACTCGAAATCGCATTTCCACCTTAGTTTGAGAACAGATTTTTGATTAAGGCCTCAAAAAAAATTTGGCGGCCAAATTCTGAATTTCTCCGGGAAAATTTTGGAATTTGGCCGCCAAATTTTTTTGGAGGCCTAAATCAAAAATCTGTTCTCAAACTAAGGTGGAAATGCGATTTCGAGTCGATTCCGAAAATTTCATGGAAAAATTTTGAAAACTGATCGAGTTGTTACAATTTTAATGAGATCAATTCCGCGAATATCGCGAACCAAGATATGGGCAATTTAGTTCATTTTTTGTGGTCTTTTCGCCTTAGTATCCACATTTAAACAGATATAAAGCTATAACTTACAGAGAATATGTAGTTTAGGCTTACCTTTCATATAAAGTAAGTTTCAGTGAAAAATATTGATATTTGACCAATTTATGGGACGAAATCTACCAAATTTGGTGCGTATGCCCAAATATGGGCATATGGTTTTTGGCTCATAACTCAGTCATTTTTTGTCCAATCTTGATGAAATTTCATATACGAGTTCAGGAGACCACTAGCTACAAGTAGAGCACCTAAAATTTGGGTTTTGGGCATGTTCAGGGTATTTGGCTAAATTGGGCCTAATTTGGACCAAATATGGGCGTGGCTGCCCCGCAGGCACCGTTTGGCGGTTAGGGTCCGGGACCCCCTCAAAAGTTCGGTCACTGGTCCTAGTTTGTTGGTCAACTGCTATCTCGAAATCAAGTTTCACAAAAAAATATCCATTGGCCCCCCCCCTTAAATAACAAGTGTCTCGTCAATACGCAATACTCAATGTCTGTGTTGGTATTGGTTACATATCGGTCACGTGATGGTTGCTATGGCGTTTCTAAAGACTTTAACGTCAAATACATACTGGTGATTAAATTTAACTGACATGGGTCGAATTACACCGATGTCAAATATAGATAGGGAGGAGGAGTACGCAATTCTCTCCGTTGCTTCTCTTTCCCATGGTTTTGTTTCGTATCCCCCGTAACATTGAGCTGCTAAAATCTCCTCTTTTCTGTACGAAATTATCACAAGTCAGTGGCACATGATCTCCAGACTCGGTGATACAGACGGCATGAGATTATAATTATAATTACAATCCGCGGGTAACGGCGATTAGAGGGGCTTGTTGTGAAGTGTCCCTGTTAATTGTTATCAGGGTTATAATATAAATTAAATAACAATCTGAGACCAAACCTTGTGTTGGGCGATTGGTTGTGAGGTCACTCCTTCAATGTTAGATTTTATACAGTTGAAACCTTTTCGTTTGCAAGTCAAGTTGTTAAACCTAAATCACTCTGGTGCCGAAGCCAACATTTCACTGATTTTGGACAAACCAGTGCGTGGTCTGGCAAACTACGTAACGTGTACTCAAGTAGTGTTAAGTAGTATCAAGTAGCTATAATAACTGCGAGGGTAGTGGCGAGGTTAGAGAAGCCAGGGTAGCATAACACAGACCACAGTGACACACTTACATCTCTCTTAGTGACAGAATGCGTGCGCAAGTAGTGGCGTACGTGTCGAAGTTACCACGACGCTCTACCCCGAATATACCAGGGCTACTACCAAATATATCCCTCTCGGCTTACTGCACTATTCCAGCATTAGACAGTGTGATGCGCGCCCAACACTACTACACTATAACTACTACTATTACTTAGTATACTCCGTTAAGTTTCCCGTATCTCTTGTTGTTTTGCTCCGACACAATGTTATCTCTAGCTATCTACTATCTGAACCGAGCCATGGTCTCCAGACAGAAGTCCCTGAGAGCTCTTACTACTGATTGTAAATCTGACTCTCAGTTCTATGTCAGCCCTTGTTGTCAGGTACTACAGAACTGCTTGTTTCCTCCTCCGTTCCTTCATTTCACTCACCCTTATTTGTTTAAAGACTGGGAAATTAGTCCCTTTGTTACTTAGTCAGGGAAATTTCTCCGAATTCGCAAATCTTTGTTTATCCGGACACGTGGAATATCTTTTTGGACGGCTATCTCTGTATAAAACACGTACAACATCATTTGTGGATTCAGCGTGATGGTCAAACACAAACAAGATGGGGGATAATTATTTACTAAAGAATTGTATCTGCTATTATTTGTTAGCTATTATTTTACATAGTATTCTGATAACTAACAGATGTATTATTTCAGGATCAGGTCCACGTGGTAAAACAAGGAGTGTTAGGACTCCACCTGGACTCCAGCTCTCACAAACTAAAGAAACCTAAGAAACTTACCAGTAGGTGGAGCGTACTGACTAGATGCGAGAAAACAGGACAACACACACTGCACGTGTGTAAAACAGACTCCCCTGATTCCAGTGTTAAAGATAGCTTCCCTGTTCAGGTTAGTTTCTATGGTTACTTAATATTGGCATTGTTACTTACTATATTGGCATGGTTACTTACTTTTATTTGATAGTTACTATTGGCATGGTTACTTACTTTTTAATACGCTCAACTGCACTTAATAAGGAACTTAATCTTCCATTTCCTTATTTTAGACAATTGACTCAACAGTTTAATAATAGAGACACTAAACCCCGCTTCCGTAGTAGCTTGAGACTAATGTACCCAACTTATTTATCCTCATTTTTTGGCTATCGATTTTATGACTTGCCCTTTAGTTCAGTTACTCACTTATCACATCATCTCCTATATTTATATAATCTATATTAATCTCGGTATTTTAACTTGGCATTCTGGCTCTGAAACCTCAGCTACTTTCCAGTACCTTGCACTTAATACCTTAGGAATTAATATTAGGTTTTAATATTATCAGTAATCTTAAAGTAATCGGGCATTCCAGACCTCCGGTATGCCAACCATTCTGACTATTCTCACTGCTGTGTCATGGTTCACAATGAAGGCATGCATTGCTGATCAGCTGTGGGTAGGTGGTAGCTGTGAAATGTAATGAATAGTAAGAAGACAGTAGGTCTGAAGCTAGTGAAATATGCAGGATAAGTGATACTATAATCTAGTAATGTCCTTTAATAGACCCCCCTATATAGGGTCCCCCCTGTAATATAGACCCCTGATCTAGTTATACTATTAGGGCACGCTACTCAGCCTCAGCTAGACAGTTATTACTCTATTATCTACCCAGTCTACTTCTCCTGCTGACACAGGGCGCCAATTCTCCTCCTACCGTCCAGCTCTGCTCCATTTTATCTCATTTCTCCTCTTCTCCCACCCACTCCGGTGCCTACTTGGCGAGGAGTGTGGGGCTGTAGTGTGAATCTGGGGCTGAAAGTGCGGAACCGTAAACATAGAGCCCTCCTGGGAGAACAAACATTACGTGTCTGTTTCCTTGAAGTAGAGAGAGAAGTTTGGGTATTCTATGCTGCTAGTTGTGGGGGAGAAGTTAGCTAATAAGACAGTGTTACTCCTTACTATCTGATACACACATGTTAGGTCTCCTTGCTCTAGTCTAACTGTCTCCAGCCTCACTGCGCAGATTACAGCTCTTAAATCTCACCTCTACGTGTTAGAACCTGCATCTGAATTCGTATGCTCCTTTATAATATATATCACTCCCGTCTCCGCTCTGTCTTCTTAATTTCGGACATTCCTGGCGGAGTGATATATATTATGAAGGAGCAGGACATGTGGCAAGCAGTGGTGCAGTGTAGTTTTATTCGTGTGGTCGTAAAGTTGTGTGTAACTTAGAGCGGTGTTTATTCATAAAGAATTCATTGTCAAAAAGGTGACACTAACAAGCATTAATAACATCACAACTATTAATACAGTTTTCATTACTTACTTAACAGTTACCATCGTGTCTGATGTATTGATAGTATTATCTAACTTTCTCTCTATTTCAGACTTCTTGGAGTATCAAGAGTGCGCACTGTTTGAAGAGCTCTCAAAGAATGGATATCTTCAAAGAAGAAGGTGAGAACACTGACCAATCACGTGTTACTATTTCCCAACCAATTATAGACCAGCACGTGCAAACGATATTCAATAGTTGAGCCAATTTACTATGATACAATTCGTGAAGGGCCCTGGAAGTTCGTAATACCACAGAAATGCTGTGTAATCACTCAGTACTGCAGGCCCTGTATATCTGTACCGGTCATATTCACGTGCAGTGTTTTTACAATTTTCACGCTTATAGCCCCGGAAATTGGTCACCCTGTTCGAACACACAAATTATAATATATTCACCCATAACCATCTCGCACCGCCGGCGCCGCCAGAAAAGATAAATCTCGTGTCTCCTCTCCAGTCCCGAATTTTTGGAGAAAATCTGATCTTTTAGAACCAATTTCGGTAAATTAAAGTAGGGTAACTTAGGAATGATAATTGCAAAGAAGGAGCAAAAATTCGGTTAAAACTTAAGAGCCCTTCTTCCCTGATAACCACATTTTTCAACGTGAATCACGGCTTATTGCTCCTTCATAAACACTTCACTAACGTAACAAAGGGAAATGTTTGCTTTGAAGTAGTCTATTTGCCCTGTCTATTTATCACCATTATCACATTAACGTGTAATTGTATAATGATTGTTTACTTAAAGTTAAAGTTTTAAAATTAGTGCTGATTTCAGGATTTATAATACACATGGGCCGACAAGTAGCCTACATAAGCTCCTCTTCAAGAACTGAGGTGAAGAGTTGGATGTGCGCTATATTGGAGGGCGTTACATTAGGTAAGCAAGTCTAACAGTCTGTCTGTCTGTCTGTCTGTCTGTCTGTCTGTAACTGTTGGATAATATCTATAAATAAAACAAGATGACATAATAATTCTTTATTTGAGAGTGCCTGATCTTTTGTCTGATCACGAAACGTTAAGTCAAAAGGTCTTGGTTATGAATTTAGTCAAACCGATTTAATAAATCCCCCTAACCTCTCGTTACCCCTCCTAACCCGTCTTACCCCCCAGGTTTTGAGTACCACTGCAAGGTAGGAGAGCACAAAACCCTGGGAATAGCTGGAGAGTGCATGTTGGTCCTCACTCCTGAGTGTATTGCTCTACTCTGCCCTCTTACTGGGGCTCCCTTAAGGAAGTGGCCCTTCTTCTTACTCACTGGTACGTTATACTCTCACATGATATGTCTTACAAACAACTTTACACATCTCTACTGCTTCTTTAAATATTTAGTGTCTTAAAATAGTTGTAGCAACCTTTATAAGTTATCACCAAGTCATATAATGACATTTTATTAACGTTAGGAAAACCTGAAGTATTCTCTTGATATCCTATAATTGAACGGTTGAAAAACCCCCATTCTGTACGTTATATAACGTGTAATATTTAACAGGTTGCAGTGTAGTAGACGACACAGTTTACTGGATAACAAGTGAGTGTGATCTGCCCTTCAAAGCTACAATTAACCAGCACAACATATTTACTCTGTACAACGTGCTCTGCAGATACCTATCTCACACCAACTCTAACGTTCAGGTATGTTTCTACAAAGGGTTTCTAAATTCCTTGCAGTTAATAATATGATGTTAAGTCATCAGGGTTTTCATCCGACTTCCTTCAAAACTCCAACTTTAGTTCTTCTGGTCACCTTGTTGTTCCACCTGTTACCCGATTATATCATCCTCATTCTTCCCGCAATTTAACATTTAACATTTCAGCCAGACATAAGCATCTCCAAACCGGAGACCTCCAGAAAGGCCCGAGTACAGAGCCCGGCTGAGAACAAGTACACAGTAAGAGAGATGCCCCTCCAGAACCCCCCACAACCTGCTGCAACTTCTCCACAAGGTCTCTGTACCAACCAGCTCTATCTCAGCCAGGAGACATGCTCTGAGAAGATGAACTACGAATTGTTGAGTAGTAACCATAGTGATTACAGTACGGGAGTCTCTTCTACTGGGTCTACTTATGACAGTGATGTAAGTTACATTAACTGTGAACTTTTCAGAGCCTGGTATTTTGTCAAGTTGAAGCTTCCAACGTTGGTTTAACCTTAGCATACAAGAATTATTATAAAGGAGCATACCAGAATTATATCGTGCGTGATTTCTGGACCGGACAATTATTCTAGAACTCACTAGATAACCCCTGATTATTCTAACCTCCACTCTCCCCAGGTGTACGAACTGATGGAGAACAGTGGAGCACCCGGCCACACTACTGACTGTATCTACGAGGACATGACCTCCACCTCTCCTCTTACTGATGAAGGTTACATGACGTCCTCTGGAAGCAACTCCAGCAGGTTCAGGTTCTCGTCAGCTGGCAGATCTGCTGCTGTCCGTCCTATTCCTCTCTCAGTTTATATGAACATGGACGGGAAATCAAGAGACCAGGAAGCTACTCTAGTTCCGGACACGTCATCAAGAGGGGTGTCTCGTGAGACGTCGCGCGACGAGGATGCGACACTGAGACCACCTTGTTACGAGTATATTGACATTGAACTGCCGGACAGGGGCCTCCTCTCGCCGGTAGCACCGCCTTGCTTACCTAGTCGCAACAAGAAACCATCAAAACCAGACATTTACACCACCAGTACTCCGCAAGAAGCGACACGTAACCCTTCGGGGGAATCACGCGACAAACAACTCAGCGAAGGATTAAAGTCTTATCAGGAGCAGTCGCGCCTTCAGAAGGAGGTAATGATGAACTTCTCAGCGTCTGTTTTAGAATCGAACTCTCGGAATGATAGTTGTCATAGCAGGGCGTTCATGAATTCTGCTGTATGAGAGACTAGATCATACGACTAGTTTTAGTTGCATCCCCTTTTATATTGATTTGTCTGCGTCAGTTTTAATTAACTGAACCGAAAGCTACTTTGACGCAGATTTCAGATTATCCTGAGCTAGTTTGTAACCCATTGGAAGATGAGTCGGTTGCCTAGAGACTGAGACGTTGCTAATGATAGAACGTGAACCGAGAAGATTAGTTATTGAAATTGATGTCGGTCGTGAATTTAAAGACAGTGGATTGTTTAGATTTTTCAATGAAGCAGAAATTGCCATTCAATTAATAAAGTCCTACAAATTTCAGTCGATTAAATGTATTTGTTTTAACCTAATGAAAAACGATATGCTTGAATGTTAAGTACATTTGTTTCCACAAATACATTTTTCTGGTCTAATAGATTTTATTGACTTTGATTCCTACAGTGCTAATAATGCAGTCAACCTTCTTCAGTGTTCGCTCAATAGGAATAATTTATTGAATTTGAGGTACAAATTGTGTGTGTTGTTGTTTAATCGTTATTGTTTGGATCTACTATAAAATATGTGGTGTTTCATTTTTCCAAATCTGAAAGTAAATATCCGATTCTCTTCAAAGTCATACGGCTTCGCATGCACCCCTCCCCTGGCCCGGTGTCTAAGATATTAGATATGGTGGAGTGACAGCAGACAAGCTGAGTGCCAGTAAAGCTGCTTTGAGTAAAGTTGCTTTGATGGATATTTTAGCTCGACAAAAATATGTGTAATTATTTCAACTGTTCCTCGGGGCTTTCTTTCTTGAAAATTTAGTTACTTTTGATATAACTGAGAGTATCAGGAAGACCCACAGCATTGGGAGGATACCGAATCACAATAATTAAACATTATTTCCCACAGATGCGGGGTTAAACACGTCTGATGACATTGAACAACATATTTTATGAACATATGACTGTTAATGTTATGCATAAGCCAACTAGATAAAGCACTGACTTGACCGGTGGGCTAACAAGTTTTAGTCTGGTGCAGATAGTCTGTACTCATCAATTTTAAAATGTTGTTTAAAAAAGGAATTTGTAATTAGTAATAGTATGGCTTAGCTGACATTTTATCAGATTGTTTTTTCAATGCGACGGTCGAACTGGAAGTTCAAATGCCATCGAGCTGAGTGCAACGATAACTATAAGTATAAGTTTTACCTCGAGCTGTTTGAATTTACAATTTATCAATGTAAACTGCTCGACCTAATAACAATAATAATAACATATTCGTGACAGTATGATCACAACTTTTCCGATCATATCAATACGATCCCTTTACACTTTAAGAATTTTTTGCCCCATGTTGTGCCTATGGACCGTGCTCGGCCATATCGTGGCTTAAGGCTTTCCTTAAATTAAATTAAAATGAGGATTAGGGGTCGTTCACAATCACATAGGGGTCGTTCACATATTACGTAATCAGCTGAGGGGGGGTTCCAAATGATTACGCTAGTGTAATTTTGACATAGCAGCTACTAGCTATGCCATATGCGTAAAACTGATTATGGAGCTGGGGGCCGGGCCGGGGGGGAGGGGAGGTTAAGATGTTCCAAAAAATGATTACGTAATATCATATGTGAACGATCCTTTACACTTTGACTTACAGTTACGACGTGAGACACTGACAAAACATTTTACCATGACATAAAAGTGAAAAGGCTGCGGTTATTCGGAGTCAGCATTAAAAACATTATGATCACATTTCATGAAATAATAATATTGAAACAGTTTGTAGAAAATTTAAACGAGAAGAATAATTTATTCACTTCTTGTACTTTAACTTACTATTCTAGCTGCCCTAAAAAGTTTACAACAAAGGGTTCACATTTATTGTTTTGTCCAGTTGAAAGGTTCAGTTCCTACGGAGTAAGGGGTCTGACATCAATAGTTATAATATGAATAATAGCAATACATGCAGATTTATGAAACGTTTTAAAATGATTAATCCGGTTCCATTTATCAATCGGTGCAATTTCTTAAAATGTTAAAAGGACACCGGTTCTACTGTTCGGTTACGGTGTACAAAGTTTACCTTTCAGTGTAGGTTGATACTATTCTAGTCAAATTGTTTATTGAGAAAGCTTATAATGTCTGGTTACACCGTACCAGGGGTCAGATATCTGAAACCCTTCGCTCCACGATGTACACAACGAAGAAGTAATACACAGCAGTATCCTCACAGTGGCGGAGGTCTGGTTTTTCTCGAGATCTTCGTTCACATATCATAGGCTCCGTTTCATGATCATGCAATGTAGAGTGACAAAAATCTGGTATTATTTAAATAAAAGTCTTTGGAAAACACCACAGATCGTGGTTTGGAACGTAACCGTAAATGATTCACATTTCAAAAATAAAATTAATGAACCGTTTTGTAGAAAAATTTAAACTAGAAGAATATTTATCACATCTGTACTTACTATTCCAGCTGCCTAAAAAGTTTACAAAGGTTCACATTTTGGTTTATCAGTTGGAAAGGTTTTTCTTCTGAGTAAGAATCTGAAATAAACGTATTATTTGATGTAATAACAAAACAATCAAAACTTTGTTAAATCTTTGAATAGATTTTGAATTTTGTTTAATGTTAAATACATATTTGAGGTATAATATGTAATTAACATTGAATAATGTTATAAATGTTTTCTATAAACACAAATTGGTCCCACAGTGATGGAGTTAATGAGCCTTTTCAGGATATTCATTTTTACATACAATGCAACCAGTGCGTAACGATGCCTGTCGGCGGCCCCCTGCAAAAAAAGCGCCCCCAGTTTGGCGCCCCCTTCCTTAATTTTGCCCCTCCCTAAAATTGAAACAAATTAGGTGATTTTAGAGGATACGCCCGGTAAATCTCTAAAAAGAAGTGTATATCTAAGCAAAACGCGCAGGTTTGCTAGTACTTTGTTAAGTTTTCGAATTGTCCCACATTCAAACGACGATTTGGCGCCCCCCTAAGACAACCCCCCCCCTCCCCCCCCGCACAGCGAAAATGCGAAAGTAAAATTTGATCACAGTCAAGTTCAAAATAAGTTTATGATAATATGTGTGATTTAAACAGCAATTGAAATTAGGAATTCAGCAACAAACGAAGTGTTATCAACGAAAAAGCACATTACTTTAAAAAGGGTCATTTTTACTAACCTTCAATTCACATTACTTTGTTAGAAGCTGATATCCGCTCTATCTTCCTGTTTGAACATTCGTATAGTCTTTAATATACATGCATCGTCTTCGTTCCTGGATTGTTTATTAAAATAACTTAAATAAGATAAATTATCATAATTGACGATAATTAAAAATTCTTCTCGCTTTGCCATTTGAAATGGAAAGCACCGGATTTTCAGTCATTTCTAAGATTTTGCTAGAACAGTATCACCAAGCTATAATGGTGTATGTTATTACAATTATGACAAGATCTACGTATTAAGTTATAAATGACGTAACGTAATAGTAGCTGCTGAAACAGCTAAAGTAAAGTTTAAAAAACGAAGGCAAATAGGTTTGCTTTTCTAAAGGTTGTTATAAAATCAGGGCTGGCCATAAACTTCAGCATTTCAAAAATAATTACAAACACTACAAATCTATTACTTATTGAGAATTATGAACGCGATGGAAATATTTTAACGGTAATATTATCCATATCCAAACCCAGGTATACATAACATGAAACTTGTTGTAACTATTGTATGAGAAGACTACCCTAAATAAATGTTAAAATTTTGTGGATATTGATTGAGCAGTTTTTGAAAGATATCGCCGAAAAGAGTAATCCTCCGCTTCTTAAGTACTTACTGCTCACAGCTTCATAAAATTGTCAACAAAGTAATCACATCTTTTCAGTGAAAGTGTTCGTTCCCTACTGATAACGGGTCTGAAACAATTGTTTATAATATGATATAATAGCACTACATCAAACCCTTTGTTAAAATCTTTGAATAGATTTTGAATTAATTTAATGTCATACATATTTATAATAATATGTATTTAACATTGAATAATTTTTATGAATGTTAAAAAACACAAAATGTCTCACAGTGATGAGTTAAGTGTCTTTTTTCAGGTATTAATCACTTATCAATGCCATGAAGCTTGTTTCTGTAATCTTTAATCAGAAATGGTGAATGGTTGCTGAGTGACACATTATTCTGGTATTGTACATGTAATTCTGGTATCAACACGGATTCATGGTTCAAAATGTAAAATTGGTCACCAGTTTAAATTGAAAATAATTTAGATAAAGCAATGTGTTTTCATTAGCAATTGAATTTAGGAATTCAGCACAATAGGAAGTGTTGCACTTTGCAGTATATGAACAAAAAAAAAAACAAACACTTTAAGTGGACGATTTTACCTTACTAACCTTGAAGTCTCATAGATTTAATTGGAGCGATATTCTCTCTCTATTCTTCCGTTTCAACTCTATTCTGTCGACATTCTTATAGACATTATACATCATCGTCATTGATCCTGGGTTTGTTAATTAGTAACTTGAGAAATGAGTAGATTATCATAGACCTTAAGAAGATCTCTGGTTTTTTTCATTGAAATGGAAATCACCGGATTGCGGTTAGTTTCTAATATTTGCTAGAACTATATTTTCAAGGGTTGTTTAATTGTAACATTGAGCTAGATTCCTACAAACATCTCACGATGCATTAAGTGTTTTATTTTCATTTAATATATTTATGAAACAAAGTTTTTACTATGTTTATAATGGAAAAAACAGTGGGCATTTCTTTGTTTAAATTGTTGATTTAAATCTGATTTTACATTTTATTTTGCTTGTTTTTTTTGTCAAATGCCTGTTGTGGTTAGATCTCAGAGCAGGTTACCCTCGATAACTATTCTGGGGACTTATGGGTATTTGGTTTCTGCTGCCATACTTCCACCCACGGAAAACTTAAACATACTTTCTTATTTAGTATCTAAGTTAGATTGCAGTATCATCTAGCTATTTGTCATATCCATCCAGCTGAAAGATATAAATAAATCAGTTTTCTATAGTAAAATAACCATTACCAACTCTCCCCCTTACGCCATTATTTAACCCCCCTTTCGTCGTTTAGCTGATGCTGAATACAACCCTGGTTGTAGAAGAGTTTAGTTCTCCTTTTGTAGTGATGCTATGGTCATTTCAGCATATCCAGCTTTACAATTATACCGTATTTATAACACTCGGTTATTACAATCGAAAATAAATACCGTTCCTGAGGAGCCGGTCACCTCGCTGCTCCCTTTATGAGAGTTCTGGATACAATACAATTCCCACTTCCAACCACGGTTCCTGGGACTCACTGGGAACTGTGTTGTTGTTCTGGATCACAATCTCCCACTCAACACCCTTCAGTCCTACAGCTTCACTGTCGAATGTCATATAAATCACGTTACCTGATTAATAAGGGTTATTTGACGGTTTCTTGTGTTCTCTTCCGCAGTTCCGCGATGTAGTTTTTGGTCCTGTCCCACCCAACCCTTCCAAGCAACCTCAATAAACTATACTATCGTTTGCCTCGGGGTCCAAGTCTC